AGCTCCGTGCGGAGCCGCTCGCCCGCCCGCCGAGCTGCGCTCGCCTCGGCACTCGCCCGCGCCGCCCCTGCACTGCGTGTCCCAGGTGGGATTTTGCACGGCCAGCGAGGGCCGGACGCTCTGCCAGGCACCCSGGTGAGAGCCGCGCGCGGAGCCTGCGCTGCGGCTGCTCTGCTGGGGACATGAAGCAAGAGACGGCCCTGCCGACGCCTCCCTTGGCACAGGTCGGATGGACTCCTCGCCTGCGCAGAGCTGCCTGTGTGCCCAGCCTGACTGACACCCCTCTGGGATCTGGAGCTGGGATCTGGGATCCGGAGCTCGCGAGGACGCCAGCGACGCCGGGGAGAGCGGCGCGGAAGGCGTCTGGTTAGAGCCGCCCGCGCGGTCGCCCGCAGAGCTGCACTCGCCCCCGCAGCAGCAGCAGCGCTGCCCCACACACTCGCTGTCCCAGGTGGGATTTTCTGGTTTTTTTTTTCCTCCTTTGATTGTTTTTGGGGCTAGTTTCTGACATGGTTCCTTAGGTGACTCTTTGATGCCTTGTGAACTTTATTGTCCTTGTTRATGCATTTTCATCCTTGGACACTTGTCTTCCACTCCAGTTTTTGAGATGCGTTTATTGATGCCAGGCCCTCACTTATTCTTTCCTTCTCTCGGGATTCTTGCTCTGGACTTTTTATGTTTCTTTTTCTAACTGCTCCTTGTTTGGCCTCCACTTCTTTTGTGTTTGCTCATTTGCTTTTTTTGCCTCATAAGTTGCTAAAGGTTTTTTTCTCTTCCCCCCCCCTCACTTTTTTGTGTGTCATGATGTTTTGCTTTTTTGTAAATTCTTTTTGATACTTGTCTTAGACTTCACTATCTATGTGTGTCTTAACACTGCTATTTGACTTCTTTTTTTTTGTAGTTTTGTAGGGGTCCTTTTATTAGTGCTACTGTTGACTTGTGTGACTCCACATGTTGGTGGGTGTTTTTTTTAATGCTTATTTTATACTCCTTTTTAATGCAGTTTTTGCCGTCTCTTTTCTGTGACTTCAATGTTTTTTTCATGTTTTGTGTTTATTTTTAATTCTCTATTAATTCACTCTTTTGTGGGGAGGATTAGTTTGATGCTAGCTTTTACCTTTACTTTYTTGATTTGATTTAATGCTGTTTGGTGTCTTTTTTTGGATGCTATTAACTTGAATTACTCTGTGATGCTTTTATTGATGCCAGGCTTTCACTTCTTGCTTCTATTTTCTTTTTATCATTCTTTTTCTTGATGCTTTTTTGGATTTTTTTGGCCTTTTCTTTGTTGCTGATTCTGTTTTTAACTCTCTTGTATTTTCA